GCATGGCTTCGGAAAAATTGTATGCAACAATTTCCATGGATTTAGAGTTGTACCTTTGCAAATCTAAACTTCAATTTGTGCCAAGAAATGGATTGATCTGTTTGACCACCACTCATGTTCATAAAATTCCTCCATGATTGAACATTCAAGATGTGATAAGACTCATCTCCATTGCTTTCCCTACATAACAAAAATAGAAAATGTCAATTGTTTTTTTTTTTCCCAAGTCAAAAGTTTCATCAGTTTTCCGTTGTTCTCCTCGTCGATAGATGAAGAAGTTGACAGCCATCTGTAGCCTTTTCTCCTTGCTCCATCAATCTTCTCGTCAACTGAAAAAGAAGTGGTCAGCCATTTGTAGCCTTTCTGCCCAGATTCATCCATCAATTGGTCGACCGACAACAAAGTGGTAGACGACAAACTTGATTTTTGACATTTTCCGAAATCAATTTGAGTTTGATCCTCTCTTTTCAAATCATCATTCATCGTTGTTGCCACCGAAGCCAATTTGAGTTTGATCCTCTCTTTTCAAATCATAATTCATGGTTGTTTCCATCACAAACACAATCGAATCTAATTTAAGATTATTAGAAAAAGCGTATAGGGATGCATTTTAAAGAAAACAAGAATTCAAGAAAGAAGAAATTCCAAGATACGGGAAAATATATTTTCCTTAAAATAAATTCGCTCTCTCTCACGAAGTGTTAGAGAATGTAAAAGCGTCTATTTCCCAGAATACAATGAATATATGATCTTGTCTAGCACTTTGACTGAATCATCGGCGAACTGAAACTAGGACTTTGATTAACACGAAGGAAGGTCAGGAGTATCTTGGCAAATGGAAGAAAGGAGAAAGTTGGTTCATTTTTTCTTGGTCATATGGAATGTTGTGAGTAAGCCTTAATATATAGGGAGGAGAAGATAAACATGGCTAACCAATTTAATTGAATTAAAACCAGTTTCAAAGTTTGGGGGAATGAATGGGCTGTTTAATATTCCAATTTAATTGTTCATAACTCTCCATTCAATTAATTGAAAAATTGAAACTGGTGATAAAACACGGTTTGATGAAGTCCGCGAGTTACAATCTAGTGTTTTAGGCACACCTACACTCGAGTCACGTTTGACAAGTCTAATCACACGAGAAACTAATTTCTCATTCACTCTTATAACTTTAGCTTTAATTCCAACATTTTTTTTTTGCTTCAAATGCCAAAGAATGTTTCAAAGCCTCGTCAAACAAGGAAGTGTGCAACTCTCAACTAGTTTGGCCTCATATATTTCTATTTGTTACATAAAAAATATGATTGAAAGGATAAAAAGTGTATATATAAAAGAGTATAACAATATAATGCTCATCAAGAATATTGACTCACATGTACCTGAATCTACAAATGCAATCTCTGCACTGAATCAATGCTGTCAAACCAAGGTATGTAACTTTCACACAAGTGAGTGCCAGTTGCCTTTAGTTGATAAACTTCCTTATTGACAAGAAACTGTAGTATTTTACTATATCTTTATATATAAAAAAAAGAGTTCAATTTAGTATATTATGTTAGTTCAATGAAGTAAATTATTTTCTGGGACAAGAGGAGACATAGGAAGAATAGTTAATCTTGCTCTACAAGTTAATTTTTTTTAAAACATATCCAACAATAATATGTGATGTATGTTTCATATTCGATTCGCTAATAAAGATGAGATAGAAAGGTTTTTACAAATATTTAGCCAAAAATCGGTCATACGAGCGAATGGTTTGTGATTTTTAACTTATATGCCTTTAAAAACGTTGGAAATCAAATTGAATAAATTAGACTCATATTTAGTTCTCTCCAATAGATTTATAATTGATTTTTTTTTTTCACAATTTTAAGTGAGGTCGAATGGGATGGATTTTTTTAATAAAAAATTAAGAATTAATTAAATTAAATATGCGGCGAGATGTGAGTTAAGTGGTAAAATCATCTTTACTCTCGAAAGGAGTTTACGAGTTCCATTGCATACTATAACAAGAGTAAGGGGTTGGTTTTACCCTTACTCATTGATATCGGTTTGTTATGACAAACTCATATATAAACCTCTGATTTGGCACTCAATCATATCACCAGAGATTGTCTAAGGTAGTTTACCTCCTACTGTGATTTGGGAGCAATTGTAATGGGCGTTGCTCTACCATCTCTGGTGAATTACCAAAAAAAATAATAATAATAATAAATACGTGCATATATTTCCTATTTATTTCTTTTTTGTGTTTTTAGTTGCTCTTCTTTTCGCACTTATGTTTAAAGGCATCACTGGAATATAAAGAAAGGATTTGGGAATTCACCTTCCCTCTATTTGTATCACTGAGAACAGAAGGGTTTCTAATTAAGGGTTTTTTTATTAAAATGGCTTCAACTGAGAAGGATTTGAATTTTCCGTCCATATGGATTATTGTGAAACCCTGAAACCCAAAAGCATTTAAAAGGGATGAATCAATTCTTTTTCCTTTAAAAATAGCATAAACCTGTAAGCTTACGCCTTAAAAGTTTTAGTTGACAATTGAAACTTGTATTTACTTTTTCTTTTTTCTTTTCTTTTTGTTGAGGAATGCAGTGTTGTCATGCTCGGCTCAGACTGACAAGTCGATCCGGTTAAACCGAGAACCGGCTCCTAAACCGAGCCGAGCAAGGCTTAAAATGGCTAAAAAGAAGATCGGTCAAAATTCTGGTCGAACCGCAAATCGGTTAAAATCGGGTCGAACTGAGATTTTAGTTTTTTTTACCTTTTGACCCAAAATTTGCACATTTTTCCATAGATTTCAACTTCCAATGTCTTCAAGGCCAACTTTTTCTCTTGTCAAAATTGCCCAACAACTTTCAATTTTTTGTACATTTTAAAGTTTTAATTTAATATTTAGTCCCCATATTCAATTTCAATTTTCAAAATATAATATTTTGAATAATCTTCTTTTAATTTTGCTACAGAAATTTACTTCCCTCATTTTATGAAAAATTTATGTTATTACTCTAATATGTCACAAAAAAATAATCTTGGAGTACTTTTTCTTAATGTTTATATTAGTTGTCCTTCAAATTTAACATTTTTTTCTAAATGATAATGTATTTATCTTAATTATTTTATTAGTATACTAATTTACTTCACTTGAATAATAATTAACTACTGAAAAATATCAATATCAACTAATATAATCGAAGAGAGATATAAAGTTTAAATCTTTTTAATTTTAAATATATTAAAAAAACTAAATACTGCATAGTTAGTAATAATGACATCATCATATGCGAACTCATGAGTTCAATTTGATTATATAACGACCTATTTGTAAATTATGAAGTATTAATTTTACTCCAACAATTGAAAAATATATATAAAATTTATAAAATTCTAATTAAAATATTATTATTAATTAATTAATATTTATTACGTCATTATGACGTTATCCGAGTCGACTCCCTGAATCGTCCCGAGTTGACTCCCGATTCGATCGACCCTTTGGCCATGCTGAATAGAGCTCCAGTCCGAGTCTGACCGCACTGGAGGAATGGGTTTCTTGTGCCCTTAGTACGCCCTTCCAGAGTTCCAGTGGCTATCTGATTGTCATTTCCTATCATAAAATAAAAAGGAAATTAAACAAATTGTTAATCCCGAAATAGTTAATCCCGAAAGCATCTTTTGAAAAAAAAAAAAGAATATTGTTAATCCCGAAAGCATCTTTTGTTTAATTTCAATTTTAAATGAGCAGTCTTTAAACAAATTGCATTTTCTTTCATTCATGACTTGAAATATACAATTAGTCCATAATTTAGTGACATTATTGATTATCATGTTCATTTACCACGCTGAGACCGTAGCAATGAAGTTGACTTTTCCTATAGACCCAAGTCGATCAATGTTCAAATAGCAAAGAAAGAGACCAAAAACAAAAATTTCATGAAATTAACTCAGTTAATTAAATGAGAGATTTATACTAGTGAACAACTCTTTAAGATTTAAGAATAAAAAATCTGATAATTAACCTCTTAATTACACAGCAACGATCGAGCCATGAAGTGTTTTTCCATTTTGGCCCCAAAAATGACAAATTTGGTTTAATTTTGATTAATTTTTACCAGGCCCAACACGCTTGTTGGATCAAAGAATTGAGAAAAAAAATTTTGAAAATGAATCTTTACATTTATTCTACACAACAAATGAAATTTAGAATAAACCAAAATAACTTATAATAAATTATTTTTTTATTGCAAATTTAATATGTATATAATATTTTATTCGTACAATATGTATATAAATTTTTTTTTCGTAGTAAAGCTAGCCGGCCGGCCCAGTTGCTGCGGCAGGGCAGACAAAGGTAGCAAAATATCAGAGGGTTCTAATCGTAATTTAGGGTTTCCAAATGACTGCAAATGTTTGGCTTAATGGCCGATGTTTGATTAGCCGCCGACCCCACGTCGGGATAAAATAATAAACGTATTCCCTCAAAATAAATAATTCCAACTCCCAGACAAACCACACCAATTTCCTACTTAATAATTTCATGATGATTTCAGCCTAATCAATCAAGATTCAAGTTAACTACAATTATCCAAAACGTTAGGTTAGGTTTATGAAAATTAAAGTAGTATATTTTTTCCTCAACCATCATACACGCAAGAAAGAAAAACAATCTTCAGGCTTATCCCGCCCACGTCGGGATAAAATAATAAACGTATTCCCTCGAAATAAATAATAATTCCAACTCCCAGACAAACCCCACCAATTTCCTACTTAATAATTTCATGATGATTTCAGCTTAATCAATCAAGATTCAAGTTCACCATAATTATCCAAAACGTTAGGTTAGGTTTATGAAAATTAAAGTAGAACATTTTTTCCTCAACCATCACACGCAAAAAAGAAAAACAATCTTCAGGCTTAACTCTAATGAAGTCTTCTATAGTCTTTTTCTTAAGTATATATATAATACCGATACCTTTTCCTTGATTGAGATGGCTCCTAAATGAAACACCAATTTTTCTAACCGAAAACCTTCTTTAGGAGAGACCTCAAATTTCAGTCTTCATAGAGCGCCTAAACTCAAATTTTCCAGCCCACGAACCCTAACCGGAAATTTCCAGATCGAAAATGGATTCTTCGAGTTCATCAACTAGTATCGCTGCTGTTAGTGAGAAGCAAAAGAAAATGTCTCACGTTGAAGCGAAGGGGTTTGTGGATGAGATGAGGGTTGTGGCTATGAAAATGCACACCAAAGATCAAGCTAAGGAGGGAGAAAAAGAGTCAAATGAACAAGAGCCAGAAGGGCAGCCTCTCTCCAAATGGGAGCCTAGCATCGAAGGATACTTGAAGTTTTTGGTGGATAGCAAATTGGTTTTTGATACTTTGGAGAAGATTGTGGAGAACCCTCATTTCACTGAATGTGAGTTTCTCTCCAGCATATATGTACGTTTTCTTTGAGTTGTTTTTTCCATTATGCAAACTTGGTATTATTAGGACTACAACAACTGAGAAATTTTAACAGGGGAGCTAAGAATTGATATGACTTCGACAGAAACTCAGAAAGTTGTTTCTCTTAATTCCTCTTATTGTTTCTTTTGTTTTTATTTATTTATTTTTTTTTTGAAATGGTACCTGTTATTAGTTATGAGATACCTGTATTACATTGCATTTTTGCATAAGCAAGAATATGTAGAACACTAACTTCTAAACGGCTGACTTTAATCCGAAGCAGTATTGAAAACGGGAAATTAAAGTACGTAATAATCTAACAATTTCCTGGGCCTCGCTTGGAAGGGCTAGTGGAGTTTGGTTTGTAACTAATTGTTCGTAGTCCATGTAAACTTCCACACTCGAGATCCCGAGAGTTCTATTTCTTGTAAAGCTCTTAGACACGTCATGGCTTCTGTTTGAAAGGGAGATAATGAGTAGTTGGGAGACTGATTTAATCTGCATCAATTGATTAATGGAGGATGTCAACTTCCATGCTCCTGCTGCCTTTCTTGTATGAGGGTGAAAAGAGCCATCAAAAATGATTTTAGCATGGTGTTGAGATTGCCTGGGGTGTTGATGGCCGGCAGTATGCGGTGTTGATCTAGTTATGAGACTTTGGTGCTGCTGAACGTCTTGTTGAATTAGGCTCCAAGTATTGACCGGATCATGGTTTGGCTTCTCCATACCTTGTCATTTTGTTCCAACCATATCCTCCAAAGAATTTGAAGGAAAAGATCGATGTCCTGCGGGGTTGGTGACGTTTGAATCCAATAGGCAAACCAGCTAAAAATAGAGGATGTAGAGCCATCTAGGATAGTTTTGGAACTTAGGGTATGCAAAACTCCGAACGACCTGAGAAATTGGATAGTTAAAGAATAGATGAAGATTATCTTCAACTCCTGTGCAGCATCATGGACAAGCAGTGTCCGTATCAACTCCTCGTCGCTGTAAACCAGCTTTTTTGATGGCAGGGCATTTATGCTGCACGCCAGAAGAGAAATTTATGCTTCGGTTGTGTCTTTGATGATAGCAATCTCTTAGACGAAGCAAATTTCGTTAATGCAACCATCAACAAGAAAGTACGAAGATAATTTTGTCTATCCCGTGAAACTAAAAAGAGTGCAAAAAATTCACAGTAAGACGATCGTTTATCTAAGTGATTCTATCTCTTAACTCAAACCAAGCAAAGAACACATTATCCATGAAAGATTCGAATTAAACAACAACCCACGCTAAGAATAGCAAGGACACCATTCAATATACTCGATCAGTCATCTATCAAGAGACTCAAGAAAGGTAGGAGCAAACAATGCCCAACTATGAAGGAATACTATTGATTAGTAATCTTCATAACCAACCAAAGATATGCAACACATACACTATCTCAAAATGCTTATGCCAAAGCACAACTCATTCAACAAAAGTAGAATAAACCCCACAATGGATCTCATGAACACACTCATCATGAAATTCGAACACCAAGCCAAAGGAAAGGCTCATCAATCGAACTACTAGAAGTAGTATGAAAATAAGAAGTTTAGTTTTAAAACAATTCTATCAAGAAGCATACTTGAAAAAGAACGGTTTCTGCAAGATCAAAAAGATCCAAGACAAGATGAAAACCCTCTTGGTTTAATCATACTTGACACGAAAAATGGACACTCCATTTACGAAAAATTCCTCACAGGAAAAACTCTCAAAAGAGACAACAAAAATGACCACTCAAGGGTACTTAAGAAATTCGGCCAATCCTATATATAGGCTTGAATTTTTGGCCAGCACCACTAAAAAGAAGACCAATTAGGACTCTCTAATCTTATCTCACAAGGAGTAAAAGTAGAAGAGTACTTGATCTCTTTGACTCTATCTAAAATCTAGGAAACCTTATCTAAATGACTTATCCTCAAGTAGGATAATATCTAGAAGGAATCTAAGACTCCTAATCAAAACACTCTAGTTTAATTCAGTCCACATGACTTATTTAACTAGATAAAAATTTGAAAATTGACTCCTAGACTTAGACTAACTCTAATCTCAAAATTCAGCTCCAAATTGTTGAAGTAAAATGTCTTGAACGCCCTTCCAAAAGTGGAATATTGGTCTTGCGCCCCTTAAGTTGTAGAAAATTCCAATTTACTCCAAAACTTGTAGAATTCTCTTTATTGACTCCAAAAGATTGGAAAAACACTTGAAACAATTAAGATAGTTTGCAACCTATCCAATTGTGTAGCAATGGACTCAATCTTGAACACTTTGATCAAATAGGGCGTCCACTCAAGAATCTAAATGACTCTTCTCACTAGCTTGATCAATGATCTTCATGGAGCACACAGAGTCAAACCCTCTTGATACTCTTCAGCACTTATTTCCATGAGGTCTTCATCTCCTTTGGTTTGAACCCCAAAGTTAATGACATTCTCATCACCTTGATCATAACTCTCTTGAACCAACTCCCTATCACATAGGTAGTCAAGATCCATCCTTTCTTCCTTGATTGGTTTGCAAAGTAAACTTGGCATTCCAATATTAGAATGAAGGACTAGCTCATTCCCCTCACTAGGAGAACCTCCATGGAAGGCTACATGATTGTCATCATCCCCTCCTTCTTTAAGAGGATTCGTCCTCGAATCATCAACCTCTATACCTGCACAAGGAACAAACGAGATATAAGGGTTAGTAAAATCCTCACCCTCACCACACTCTGATTTTCTCTCATTGCGTGCATTTTTTTCTGTTTCCACGCTATTTTCATGGTTTTCTCTCGCCTCAAGTCTTACCTCATCGTGACCCTTTTACTTTCTTGCATCACTCGCTCGACTTTTCTCTCCCTTGTGTATAGGTTATCTTACGTCTTTTCTCTCGCACGATTCAGATTCTTCATAAGCCAAAGGCTTAAGAATGTATTTTCTGTCCTCTTTAGTAAAGACAAAGATATTCTTCGAGCAATGGTGCACAGCATCTACATCCGATCGCCAAGGCCTACCTAGCAAAATATCACAAAGAGACATAGGAATTACATCAAAGTAAATTTCATCCCTATACTCACCAATCGAAAAGGTACCATGGCCTTTTAGTAACATCCACAACCATCTCTTCACTCAACCATTGAAGCTTGTATGGTCTAGTATGCGGATCCATCTTAATTCCGTTTGCTATGCAAAATTTCTCAGTTACACAATCAGTACTCGACCCACCGTCGATTACCAAATCAACTTCATTGGACCACCCAACCGAACACTTAGTACGGAAGATACAAGTCCGTTGATCTCCATCTTCAGTGCCAAACACCAACTCCTGATCCTCAATTGGACCATTCCAACCACAAGAAGTATCATGCTCTCTTTCCACTTCTAAGGCAGTATAGTATGCCTCATAGAGCCTTGATTGTCTCCTTATCTTTGGATGTTGTTTGAAACACTTGTCCAAGCCATAGTGGAAACGGTCTGTCAACATGTAGTCGTTCTCATCCACTTCTGAACTCAGAAACAACCCTTCTAATTCCTCAAAGTAAGATTGAATGGATCTACCATTCTACTTAGGGTGATTTTAATATCCTGTCCTGAGATCACTTTCAATTTGATGTTGTTATACAGCAACCTTGCTCCCCAAAGAACACTTTTGTTTCCCCAGGTTACATTTCCTGGTACTTGAGATTGCGGGAAGGAGTCTAATGAGCAGTACTTGGCTTTGTAGATCCTTGATAACGGGGAATCAGGCTGCGCAAGGATCTTCCAGGCATGCTAGGCCAAAAGAGCTTGATTAAACTCAGCAGTGCCTTTCAGTCCGAGACCGCCATGGAACTTAGATTTTGTGATTTTTTTCCGAGCTCTCCAGTGAATGCCTTTGGCCTGTTGATCCCCTTTCCAGATAAATTGGCCAATGATGCTTTCTGCTTTCCGTAATGTAGATGCTGGGAGCTTGAATACACCCATTGGATAGACTAGCATGGCGGATAGGGTAGCTAAGGTAACTCTTCCAGCAAAACTTAAAAATTTGGTCTTCCAATTTGCAAATTTCCTGGATAGGCGTGTTGTGAAGTCATTAAAGATGACCTTTTTCTTTTCCTGGAAGTCTAGAGAAAGTCCCAAGAATTTCCAATGGAATGTGCCCTGGGGAATGTCCAAAGTTGAATGGATGGCTTCTTTCAGATGCTGGGGGTATTAGAGCTGAGTGGGAAGGAGGATTTGTGATGATTGATCCTCTGACCATAGAATGCAGCATAATCCTCTATGAGCCCTGTCAATGCTTGAATGGAAGATTCTCTACATTCTAGGAAAAATAATCTATCATGTGCATAAATTAAATGACTTAGTCTAGGTGCATTTATACTAATTTTAATTCCCAAACCTGGAAATGGCCTTAGTTCAGAACGACTTGCAGAGGATAACACCTGTTGGCATAAGATGAAAAGGTAAGGGGAGAGAGGGCAACATTGCCTCCATCCTTTGGTTGGTGCAAAACATGGGAGGCCTTCACCATTGAGTTGGATGGAGTAAGTAACTTTTGTGACACAAAATATGATAAGACTAATCATGTTGCTTGGCAGACCTGCGTGTGTAAGAACAGCTTGGCTCATATCGAACTTAATGGCTACTTCATAATAATCCTTCATTGCCCTAACCTTGTAATTAGGAAGCCAAGTAGTTCGCTTTTTTTATGTGCATGAGCCCAGAGGGAATTGGTATACAGAGATTGAGTGAAATCATACAACATTGGAGTCCAAACGTCGTCGCCGGAGCCGAGAAAAAGTTATCCAAAAATTGCTCCAGTTCATTGGGCTCCATCAGATAGCATCTCTGAAGAGGGTGTCCCAAACGGCCACTTCGCTGGCAGTACTTGTGCATATGCTCGTATTTGCAGCATCCTTCTTCTGAAATCGAAGTAAGGGACAAGGGGGTCGCGTAGCTTGATCCATATTTTGACTCGAACATAAGTGGCCTTCCGCAGGGAGACACAGTCTGCTTTAATTCTGGACACTTCACCCACTCTACTGGCCAGATTTTCAATCGTATGATAGTTCATCGCTGTGATGGGAACTCCATGTAATCTGACCCATATACTGAGTTTGTCAATGCGGATGCTATCCAAAGACAAATTTTCATGGTCACAAATTTGCTGGAGAATAAGGAGAGCCCCATTGACTACATATTGACCATTGTGCAGAATAGCAAGCATCTCAGATCTGCTAGCGAATTTATTGATGAAGAAGTTTCGATCATGATGAATAATCCGGGTATACAACGGCCAGCTCTTGACCATATACTTCTGCATGGCCTTGTCATCCACTTCAACATCATCGATGAGATAACCAAGAAGGGCTTTGAGATTCTCCCTAGATAGATGAGTGTTTGCATCTTCAGTTGCATGCTATGAGAATGGAAGTAAGGGAGTGGAATCGTATGCGGATCTGCATCCACACGATGTCTGAAGTCGTGTTCTTCTTCAAAAAATTCAGATCATTGGAATGACATAGCAGTCACAGAATCCTCACCATTGCATGTCGATAGATCATCTGGAAAGAGACAGGAAGAAGCCAAAAAAAAAAGGGGATTTAAGAAAATTAAACTTTAATGCAGTAAAAACAAATCCCGAAAGCTCAGATCTGGACAGATGTGCTTTAAATATAAGGAGAATTAGGATATGAAGGCAGAGAATATGGATTAAACAAGGGAGAGGAAAGGTTGATGTTGAGTGCAGTAATGAATGCAAGATTCTAAAAGGCAAATGCCTTCACTACACTAGTTTCCAAACGCCGGTCAAGTGACAATGGAAATAGAAATTCTTTTGGGTTGTATAAACATAAAGAGGGAAGCAATGAAATTTGTGGAGCTCTAGGCAGACAAGAGTATAAAAGAGCTGGATTTGGAGGGGATTAATACTGAGTTTCCCACACATAATTGTTAACAAATTAATAAGAAATTGGATTCTTGTGCATGGAGGCCAAATGGCACGAACTGGCCAAGGATAAATAAAGCACTAAACACTGCAAAGTGGAAGCACTTGATCAAATTTTGGTTTTTTGGAAAATAAAATATGGATCTCAGTGAGGAAATCCGTATCAGAAGCAAAGGATTTGGTTTTGGATAGTATTAAAAACCACACGTGATCAGTGGTCTTGAAGACGAAGAAACTTAGGTGAAGTTTGGGAGTATTCCTAAGTTGTCAATTAACAATTTCTTTCTCAACAGGGAGAAAGAGAGGACATTCTCTCATTAGAGTTGTAGAGAGAAGGACAACTGTTGACAATGAGCGTATATGTTAGATGTTTCTTTTGTTAGGTATATTTAATTAACTAATATACGAGTCCCTTTTTGTTTTAAAAAAAAATCAATCTGCTTATAATTTTGTTGTTTTCATGATAAAATCTATTTCGTGATATTGATATATGACTTGGATAGGTCTATGATAGTTATGTTAGTTTATTATCCGACTATTGGTTGAAGAAGTGGGGTTCCTCCCTCCACTAAGCACAGACTAACCCAACCCTTTTAGTCCATATGCTCTTATACTGAATTTATTCCAAAATAAGTAAAGTGGGCCTTCTTTTGCAGCCAATATATATATATACATATATATATATTTAACATAAGCCAACCTGAAGAAAATTAGGTTGGGCCACCATTTAACCCCACATTTGCAGTAAAATGCAGTAAAAAAAAAAATTTACGGAGAGGCATTACTCAACTATCTCTAATGAGAAAAAGTTGACTGGAGTTGTAAGTGGCACGCGGTTCGACGCCACTTACTTCCACTAAAGTTGCTTTGAGTTAGTTTGGGGATATAATGCTTGAGTCTTATAATCAAGCTAGCTATAAGTTATATATCTTGCAAAGCAAGTATTGTGCACATTTGATTTTGTTTTTTTTGGTAAAAGTATGTATGATTTAGCAAGAAACAATTGCCTGGACTAATCAACCAGATTTTCTTAAACCTTTGGACTAAAACAAAGTTTTTTCCGTTCTTTAACCATGCAGATGCAGAGTTCCGAAACACTAGATTGGAAAGGTCGGAAAGGCTTGCCAAAGATTTAGTAGGGTTGAAGGAAAAATATCGGGCCATTCCAGAGCCATCTACACATGGTATTAACTACGCTCAATATTTGAAAGAGATATCAGAAAATGACACTCAAGCATTTATGTGTCACTTCTACAACATATATTTCGCTCATTCCGCTGGTGGGCGGATGATAGGAAGGAAGGTTAGTACTTATACAACAAACATATCCTATGTAAATTGTAAAAGGAAAAATAAAAAGTGGTCAACGAAACCGTCATTTTAGTAAAGGAAAAAATCCACAGTAGACCAACTATTCCATCATTTTTATATAAATTTGATCAAATATAAAAAAAATTTTAGTGTTTATTTAAGCATAAAATACAAAACTTCAAAACAAAATTTCCATAAGCATCGGTAGTTTATGTTTGTTACATGACCATAAAACAAATTTATGCAGCTAAAGCCAACATTACGATATATCTTATTCGAATCGGAAATAAAAATCGATAATTAAATTTAAGGGACAGACACATCTAACAAAACTGAACTTTACTTTTCTTTCTTCCTAAATAACACATAAATGAACTCCTCCAAATACCCAACACTAAGGAAAACTCACTCATTCTTAAAAAAAAATTGCCAAAGTCAAATAAAATAGCCAACTAATTGGAATAACTAATTAAATAAAGGGAAAAATCCACTTAATGTACCTTAAAATAGGGGTCTCTAAATCATGTGCACTAAGAATTTGTCTCATATACACTAAGAATTTGGCTTACTAAATCATGTACCTTATGTCAAACTTTTATTGTTTTCAGTACTTTTTATCGGCAAAATGGAAAACTAACAAATTTTTTTTTTTTAAACTACAACATTTTTGCCCCCAAAACTTCTAGGAAGAAGTAAATTGCACCATAAATTTTATTGAAAAGACCAATTCTTAGGGTACATGATTTGGGAAGAGCAATTCTTAAAGTACCTGGTTTGGATACCCCTATTCTTAAACTAAATACATTTCTTAGCGGCTTGGAAGTATGTGACACATATCCTAATGAACATATTTTGTTACTGGAAAATGTTCAGCCAAAAGAAGAAAAATTCCAAATGCAGTAATTTCATTTTTAGCGCCCTCTCGCACTGAAAAAATAATTTACATTGAATTTTAAAATTCACATTAATACTGTTAATTATTATTAATAATGTTAATCATTTTTCATCACGGTTGCATCCACAAGTAAAAATTTTTATTGCTAGTGTCACAAGTACGATTAGATGCATGGTAATTTTGTTAACCATAAAAGACTTAGTACAAAAAGTTAATTATCAAAATATTATAAAAGAAAATTGGCATCAAAGAAAGTCAGAAAAGTAAATATCCCATAAAAGAATTAAATACTTTTTCTGAGTGTTCTCACTAACTCTTTTTTTTTTTTTTTGAATTCAATACTACAAATGATTATATTATTATTTGGACGGAGTCTATGAGAAGAGGGATAATACTACTACAGAAGAGACTCCACTAACCTTTATCTAGAATATATGATGCTTGCATTTATCAGTTGATTAGGTTATCCTAGCTGATCTGTTTGATCGAGGTGCTACATATGTACGCAGTTCACAAGGATATTGTGAAATAAGCATTTAACCACCAAAAGGGGTAAAAAAAAAAAAAAGAAAGAAAAAGGCACTGGAACTAATCTTGCATTGTTTACTTACATTTCAGGTGGCTGAAAAACTACTCAATAAGGAGGTGCTGGAATTCTACAAGTGGGATGGGGATCTCTCACAACTCTTGCAAAATGTTAGGGACAAGCTCAACAATATTGCACAAGTAAGTCTCTTCACTCATTTTCTTTGAAATTAAAATTATTTTCCCTTTTGCCAAACATCGAGTTAGCCGAAGTTAACCAAGCCTTCATTTGCGCTCTAACACATTTTAATACTGTTGCTTTTACTTAGAGCTGGACAAGAGAAGAGAAGAATCACTGCTTAGAAGAAACTGAGAAATCATTCAAGTTCTCGGGGGATATCCTTCGCTTAATATTGTCCTAATTAATTAACCCAAAAGGGTACTCCTTATGTCCCACACATAATAAGTATCTTTGTTGTACTAAAATAATACACATAATTATTTTCGGACGAAGGAAGTATTTTCTTTGGGAGCGCGAATCTCTATTAGTTGTAATATACTGTAGGCCAACCGCCCTTATGAAGTCAATCTTATTATCTGTTTTACCGAGGTTTTCAGTTGGTTCCCAACCTATGTTTTCGCTTCACTCTCCCACTTAATCTCTATGAGTGCCTTCTGAGCATCTCCCTTCCAGACACTATCCAGCAGAGTTATAGACGGCTAATCAAATTAGACCTATTGAGTTATTGGGATTTGGTTTTGTATATTTTATATAGATTATAAGATGGGGCTGAATTGTGAAATTACCATGTACATGTGATGGGTTTTACTCCGTTTGAATATGATTTTCAGTGATTATTTAAGATGTTTGCAGATGTGATTTGATGCTTTGATCATTTTTAGGAACTTTATCAACCAACCTGATTTACGCTCCAAATTATGTTTGTAATCGACCAGCCTGCTAAATACTGGAGCTTTTATTATTCGTTGATTAGGGAATATGATCATATATATGACCAGGGAATTGCATGTGATTGATCATGCGAGCTGCTAGGCCTACTTCTAGTGTAATTGATTAAATCAGGGATTAGAAAGGAGGAAACAACAACAAACCATTCTCCTTAGGACTTTCTTTCATGTCCATAAGCTTTTGCTTTTTTTTTGAAGATAATGAAAGAGTGAAACTACTTAACCAAGATAAAGATGTTGATCGGTTCTTTACTCAAATCCCTAACATTGTGTGGTACCTCCCCCTCTCTCTCTCTCTCTCTCTCTTGTGTATGGGGAGAAAAATTATGAAAATTTTAGAAGGGAGATTGGTATTTGAGAGGAAATTAGTGCGGCAATTGGAAGAAACAGAATTAGGACAGGGAGAAATAATAGGATTGGCTTTATAATGACAATTTTGGGAAGAAAAATAAATTTTTCTCTGAACACTAAAAATTGTGTTGCCAATATCATTACCCTATATTGTATCTACCAAGATTGTATATACCCTATATTGTATCATTACCCTATATTGTATCTACCAAGATTCGCACTTCTGTTAATGTGATGGAACTTCACAACACATAATGCCAGGGATTGGATCTCAATTCGATATGACGAAGTAAGGAATGATTTGCAACAACTTGTGTATATCACAAGTGCAAGGTTCTATTTTTGTTCAATCATGCATCATTTCAAATATTATAAGTGAAATTTAAGTTAACTTTATGAGTTGGTACATTGGAAAGGAAAGAGAAAACAAATCGTCATTTACAATTGTGACTGATTTTCAGAGAGGCGCACATGCTGGAAATTTTAAACACAAAAGAAATGAAGTACAAAGAATCCAACATGATTACAACGAGAAAGGAGAGAAAATAGGAGAAGAACATAGTCAGGGAGTGTGGTTCAGTTCTGCTGACTTATGAGAAGTAAGCTTCTCACTTCACCGGGTGGCACCCCTGATTCTACTTCCTGCTAATGCTCTGTTTTTCTACCTAAACAGAAAACTAAGCTAACTCTAACTTCTCCCTTCTTCACTCGATGCCTTGCTACTATTGATCTTCTTTTTTTTTTTTTTATAGAGGCTGGGAATGGGCAAGCTTGCTTAACTTGGCTGATCTTCACTTTATCAAAAGAGGCAAAGATGATTCCTTGATTTAAGGAAGAGCCATACTTGCCCATCCCCCTGTCTTTGTCTTCTAATCACTTTTTGGGAGTTGTCTAATTGATTTAATCTTCTTGTGGCTCTAACATACTCCCTTTAAATCAGCAACACCACATCTTCTTTCTTCAATCTTCCTTAGTCTCCAAGGTTTGTTTGATTATCTTCTTGCCGTTGCTGCTATTGTTGCCGGATTGCCTTCACCATCAAATTTGCACCATCAGTCCAATTGGCCATTTTCAGTTCTGCCCAGAACTTCACACTTTTGCACCATCTTGCCTACCTTTTTTTAGATTTTGCAATTGAGTCCCTTGATCACCAACAGTTACAAAATTACATTAAAACTATATAATTCCAACTAAATTAAATTAAAACACAAATAGAACGAGGAAAATAATGCATGTTAAAACATATGTAGCTTGACTCCCATTAACTCTCCCAAACTTGAAGAGTTGCTTGTCCTCAAGCAAACATAACATCTACCCCTTCTCACACACTCAAACACATAAATGCAGCAAAGAAATTTGACAAAATATTTTCGTAGAATCAGGTCTCACTAGCCACACTAATATAGACCGTAGTTTGGTACAATTTGAGCAAGTCAGAAACTTACTATCCAAAGTGTGTGTGTGCAATAGATCACAAAACAGAGTGTTGTTTGTCCATTCATAAGTTAAGTTCAATTAAGTTCAAATGGACATTCTTGTTATTAGTACCAATTTCCATGTTGTCTGTAACTAAGGTATTCCTACTGAGGTTAAGATATAAGGGCTTCCTCTCAATTCTACAAGCATCATTGGCTGCATCTTTCACCCTCGTACCTTTTCATCCAAGAGTCCTTCGGCTTTTTCTATTTTACGGACTCTAGGTTCTTTCCCAATCAAGCATATACTAAGTGTATTTTCAGCAACTTTTGGCATTCTAAGCATACATTTTATTTTAATCTCACAAGGCTTGAGGACTCTACTCTTTTGGTGCCCTGCCTCACCTCTCAAGAGATTAAAATGACTCATTGGACATTCTGCCGTTAGTCGCTCAATTAACAAAACACTTAGCCTCAGATTCAACCACCAACTTCCCCCTTTCCCAAGGTATTTAGGCTAATACAAACCACTATGGGCTCGATTCGAGACTGCCATAATGCATAGGGCTGCCCTAGCCTAACTCTCCAATTTACAGTCCCCTCAAATTTTGGACAAGTGAGCTCCAGTACATGACCACAACAATGCATTAAACATTTAAAAGTTTATAAATTTAAGCTCACAGCAACACATTGTCAACGGATATGTTGTGCCTAAGGATGTGGTAATATATTTCTAACACAGCCTAACACTGAAATATTTATCCAAACAAGGTTTGTAATAAAAAAGAACAAATTTTTTAACAACTTAAAATTCCTCTCTCTCTCTCCGCGACCAAAAACAAACCCTAGCCCGCCTTCAATTTTCCGCCCACAATGGCCGGTGAACATTCAAGGGAGGCCCCCACTGGGCCTCCTTGCTCCTTTGCGAGCTTTTTTCAAACCAAAACCATCACTTATCAAGCCGGTCACATTCATCAATGGTACGCCGTTTTTAGAAAGTGAAGATGATGAATACGACCGGCTAATTGATCCTCACCAACGATGTTTGGTTGAAAAATTTGCTCATGGAAGGCCGAAGATGGAGGAAATTGATAATAGTTTATTTGTTACATAAAAACATCACAATTAACTCTGAATTTAGTAAGAAATTGGGGGGTATTTCCTATTATTAGTGCATTCTACTTAACTAGTTTTTGTGTTTTTATTAGGTTGGGGTTTGATTGCACAATTGCTGAAAAATTAAGGCCAAGGGAACAATTTGTGGGCTGCTGAGGCAATGTTTGCTGAGCTGGACGAAGAAGCACCTCCCTAGACAAAAAGCATCTTGCCATTAATGAGTATGTCTCCTCCAAGAGGCATGCTTGTCCCTCAGCCGAAATTTCAGCCACCCCTGCTGATCAATGAGAGCAATGCTGCGACTTCTGGAAGAAGTGCAGTTTGGATTCCAGGCACAAGGCATTGGGAGGATTAAACAAATTACAAGCATGGGGTAGCTCTCATGATGAAAGAACCGGCTGCAAGGCCCTATAAAAGAGAAAACTGCACTCTCAGAAAAAAAATCTCTAGTTACCCTTTCAGTTGCCAAAAACACACAGAAAAACTCCAGGTAGAAGGCAAGAAGGAAGAAGAAGCAACAACAACTCAGTACGGAAGCCAAGTTGGAGAGTAGCCATCCCAGTTTTTGCTTCAGTTCCATGTGTGAACCCTTTCACTCCCAGGAGTGGCTCAGAAACTGCACAAGCTTTTTTCTCGTCTCTTGACTGTTAGCTTGAACTTTGCTTATTATGCATACTTCTATGATGTCTTTTGATGTAGTAGATGTAGCATTAATCTGTATGAGTAGCTAAGCAGCTTCCAGGGGTTATTCTCCTCAACCTATGTTGTAGTTGTGTAATGCACTGGTTTTGTTCCTTGTTTTGAAGTTGAAAGTTTTTCTACATTCATTTACTTGATCACTAAATTGAATGCATGCTAGAACTAAGGGAGATCTGGAAAGATAAACTTGGTTTGGATTGTTTCAACTTTAACTTATGACATAGAGGTAACACTCTATGGTTTTAACTAAGATAGGAATATACTTAGTTAACATAAGCATTCTTGAAGGCCTAAGAACTTAATGACTTTGTAGCTGGAATCAATCATTGGAAAATATATTGTTAAAGTTGCAGGGATGACTCTAGGAAAAATGGGAACTGACTTAGAGTTATAAGTGAGCTGAATGAGCAAGAACTCAACCATTACAATGCTAATAAAACAACCACAACAGTAGGAAGAGGAGAAGACTACCCCTAGCTTTCATTCCCCTGAGTGACTGTTTCCATTCCCCAAAGTGACACCTTGTCTGACTGGTAGCCTTTTTTTACAACAATTTTGGTAATTAGCTATTCTCGTGGGATCGACCTAGCTTCCATTATCTACAAAAATTCATAATCTAAGCTAGTAATATTTTTGGTGAACTCGGCACGCACCAGAAAGTGGCGCCATTGCCGGGGATGGCGTAAAACCTCCAAAAATTTGTTGTTTTTGTTTGTTTGTACATATATAAAATTCTTTTCTGGTTACCACATTAAGCTTCCAATTTCTTTTCTTTGGTGTATGACTAGAAAGCACCAACGGAGTGAACCTGTTGTTGACCCAGAAATTGAAGCTACCATACGCAGAACTAGAGCAGCAAGAAGAAGGCAAAACCAGTTGCAACAGAACAACCAAAAAGGTTCATCAGAAATGGCCAACGAAGGTGGTAACCCGGAGAACAATAGGAACCCTGGTGGGGATCAACAAAATCGACCAGAGATTCTTCATCCCACAACAAGAAGAAGTCCAATCCCCTTTGGTGTTCCCTGATGTAGAGGCAACCAATTTTGAGCTAAAGTCACAGATGATCCAGTGGACTCAATCAGCCTGCCTATTCCATGGATTACCTCATGAAGATCCTAATGATCACATCCGAAGTTTTTTGCGTTTATGCAGTACTTTTAAAATTCAAGGCTTAGCTAATGATGACATTAGACTGAGGTTATTCCCTTTTACTTTGCAGGATCACGCCCAAGCATGGTTCAACACATTACCCAACAATTCTATCTCCACTTGGGAAGAGTTAAGACAGTGTTTCCTGACAAAAT